AATAAGGACAAGATAGAACATCGTAGGCTACCCTGTAGCTTTTCAACGAATATAGTCCTATAAAAGTCATTGTGTAATAAAATGCCTCCGACGGGATCCCACACACTTTTCTTTATATATATATATATATATATGTAATATATATGTATAAGTTTGTAAGGCAAATGGGAAAAACCCATAAAACAGCAAACGGCCATATAATGCAAAACAATTTAAATTAAAACAGAACAGTAGAGAAAATCCGATCAGAATGACAAAATAAACTAAGCATCCACTGGAAGGAATCCCAATATCTGCAGACGGATCCGTTTCGGCCTTCCAGGCCTCATCAGTGCAGCTAGGGTACAGACCCAAACGAAACGTTCGACCAGCTTAGGTAGGGCCCAAACTAGTCCCATGACCACTAATGATTTATGCAAGTATATATATAAAAACGGTTGAACGTGTTGCAAATGCAAGTATATATATTTATATATATGCAAGTATATACACAACAGCAATCTGAATGGATGTAAATTTTTTAATACTTTTGGAAGATGGTAAAAAACAAACCACTTATAATGTGACATCACTAAATAATGTTATTTTTAACTGTGATTATTTTGTACATTTATAGTTAAATGTTAATAGTTTAAAATTGTAACAGTATGCTTTATATGGTTTTATTTATAACTTTAATCATTTACTCTTTAAATAGTTTAAAATTTCAACTTATATTTCCTTTAAATTTCTTAACAGTGATTACAAATTTCAGATAAAGCCTTCCTCTACATTGTCAGCTTTAATGAAATATATTATTACTGTTGCAGTGCCAGGGTGGCTAATAAGTACAAGGTTAAAACAATTTTTTTATTATGACTATGCTGCCACCGCCCCCACTCCACAATCACCGCCGTCCACATCACCGCCACCCCCGTATCTGTCATTACTGAAGTAGTTCTAACAGCTAAAATCAATCAGAAAGATTATAATGGCTCTTTTTATACTCACAGTTTACGACCACCATCTTCAGCAATGGTTATCAACTCCTCCTCCAAACCTCTTATAGTATCATGTTCATTCAAGTCAACACAACTCTGCAAAAATTAAATGACAACAATTTTTATTGCTATGCAAACTAAATTTATCCAGTTCCTATGGGAAATAATTGTAGTCTGTTGCTAACGGATAATGTCTTTGAATTTTGTGGAAGTTGTGAAAGATACTGTTATCTAGTTGCTATCTGGAAAATGGTCAGGACTGTATTTTTTTCTTTTGGAATGATATACTGTTGGGACATTATTGGGAATTGTGACTCAATATTGGATGAAAATGGAATAATAACAAAATAAATAATAAAACAATATTAATAATAATGGTGAATATAGCATTTCATATAATCTTTCATTCATTTAGACATTCATTCATTCATTCATCCATTCATTTATCCAGTCATTCATCTTTTATTTTGAAATTCAAATTCATAGTATAAGTAACAAAGAAAAATACCCCAAAGACTACAAATAATATAATTATATGAACTACTGTTACATTTTGCATAATCAAAAATTATCTTAAAGCACTTTAATAGAAAAGAGAGGTCATAATATAATGTGGTTCAATGACATACTGCAATTTCTCTTGACAGTAATTTAAAAATAAAAAAAATATTATATTTCAATTCAGTGATGGGAACTAACCAGTCAGCAGGATGTATGGATAATCAGGAACATACTGAATCGATAATATATACACAAATGAAACCATTAATTAGCAACAACAATAATTATGTGTAGAGCACAATGGTAGGCAGTGTGGGAATATGGCAAAAGTGTCTTATGAAATCATACCTTATGGAAAATATTTCCTCGCGTTTGAAGATCTTGAAGGAAGCTAGCAACGTAATTTCTCTGTCGGTTTAGTTTCTCAAGCTTTCTTTTGTACTCTCTTCTCACGATAAATCCACGAATCACTGATGTCGAAAAAAAAAATAAAATGTAATTAGTCTTGATAATAGTGCATAAATAATGTCACAATAAGTGCATAAAACATAATGTATGTATATAAATTGATTAATCAACAATTAATAATAATTATAATAACAAATAAAATACTATAAGAATAAAGCAATAACAAAAAAACAATGATATACAATTAATTTCATACTAATCAAATACAAATAAAATTCAAATATAGTATGTATTTAAATTTAACAAAAATATATATAACAACAATAACAATAATATATTGTGATACTCAATATGCTGTATATTCATAAATTGCAACAACCCCACCCCCAGCAAAAGGGTCTGATTAAAGTAGGGTTCACTACACTGCCCTTAATGTTAAACTTGAGCAATGGCTCTAATCCAATGAGCAACACTTTTAGTTTGTTACTCTGCATATGCATCAGCCAACATTGTGCTAAAGGGAATATTATTATGTAGGAGTTCCAACTTCCTGGTCTTTTAACATTGGTAGCACTCAAGGGTAAATGAATAATGGAGTACTGCCACTAAATTCAAACCTTTTCACATAATATAACCCCACCTGCAGTATATTATGAACTACATGCGCTATAAATTTACTGGAAATATGCCCTTTCACCAGTGGCGCATTTACAGTAAGAGTCGTGAAGTGGAGTGGAGTGGGGGGGGGGGGGAGCTCAATAGTAAGATGATTTTTAACTATGTGAAAATGATTTTTCGTTCTTTAAAGGGGAAGGGGGATGGCGTGCACACCCCTTAGAGCTGCCACTGTCTATCACAGCAAATCATAAGATGGAACCATTACAATTTTAACATTTTCAACTGGATTAATTATATTTTAGTATATATTTATTTTGAACTATAGTGTTCTGTGTGCTAGTTTCCAAAGCAATGTCAGAATCAAGTTACAGTACATAGTTATAGTATCAGCATTTCAAAATCAAATTGTGAATTTATCGCACTAATGAAAAATTTTTAATATCATAATCTACTCATTCTACATGCTAAATTCAAAGCCAAATGTCTTTTTTTTTCCCGCTGAAAGTATTTGTAAAACAAACTCATTCAAATCATAGATGGTCACGCCTTTTGACTGGAGAAATGTGTGCATAAAAATGAGCGTAAGTTAGGGCTTTAGTATAGCCAAGGTGGGCTTAAAACCGAGAACCACCGTTGATGTCATATCCTTTGTTGCAATGTAAATCATTTCTTGAATGTTATTTGTGATTACAAGCCATGTCTTCATCGTATGTGAAATGAAAGCTGGTGCTCTTAATAATTAATACAATCGCTTCCTTATTTTTGTGTTCATTTCTTTTCATTCATTTCTTTATTCATTTCATTTCATTGTATGTTACTCAAGGTCAAATATCCTACTTGAATACTAGTGGTCTTAATGATAGTGGTAATTGTTCTAGTTTTCATGAAGTGAGCAATCTGCAGTTAACATCCAAGATCATATATTTAACACTATATCGTCGCTCACATCACGAACTAACACAATCAAAGTAGATTGTGTTAGTTCGTGAAATCATAGTAGCGCGTCAAAACCAGCGCGTATTGGTTGTCAAGCAATTTTGTATTCTTTACCACACAAAAAGTCCTTAACGACAGCAGCGCATATTTTGACGCGCTTTTTTGATTTCACGAACTAACACAATTGAATTTAATTGTGTTAGTTCGTGATGTGAGCGACGATATTTGACAAAATACCTGAAGGAACTAAAAGAGGGGGAAAAAAACTAAAAGCACAGGAACCAACTAGACTCTCACTCCTTAAGATAGTGATTATGATGATGAGAAACAGCAGTGCTGATAATCGCAATTTCAAAATTATATTTAAGGATCTTTGGGATACATTAGTCTCAATGATTGTATGTAGTACCAGAAACTCTTACCATATTACAATAGTTTTGGCATATAGAGTGAGGTATAGTATAACTGGGCAAATAGATGGAGCATGGATTGTAGTGTAAAAATTAGACCCAAGACTGTCAAAATTGGATGGACTCATATAAGAAATAAGTGGCCCTCAAGCAAAGGGCTTAAAAAGTGGGGAACAGAGGAGAACATTTTATTTTGTTCTGTGTGTGTTCTGGGAACACAGAGGAATTAAGTTCAAATTATCAAGGCCATGTTAGTAAGCAGGAAGGTATACTCGACCTAACAACTTCCTTCAAGTCAATTCAAAAATGCCATTTGTGCTTTGAATTGTCAAGTTAACCAGTTAAACCATGATGAGATGACCCAAGAGGATCTCCATAATGTATAACATAAAACAATTTATTTCCTAGAGCTCTTAAAAGTCAATATACATTGTAACATACTATATCTATATTGATATATTGCAGTAATACATTATATAAACGAAAAACATTTCCAAAAAAATGCATACGCCACACAATAACATTACTATGTTTCTTTTAAAAAGTTCTAGTGTGCTTGAATTTTTTATATTGCTGTCTAAATTATTCCACAAAAGAGCCCCCCGGTAACATAGACTTCTTTTTTTATATTTTCCGTTCTTGGCTTGGGTACGTTAAGGTTGTCATTTGACCTAGTGTTGTATTTACTTTCTCTTTGAATAAATCTATTTTTTAAATAATTAGGAGCTAAGTCATTCATTATTTTGTACATTGTGATATTTATATATTGCAGTAATACATTATAAAAAAGAAAAACATTAATTCCAAAAATATGCATACGCCATACAGTAATTCAAGCTTACAAACTAATGCCCTCAGAAATTAAAAGGAAAAAAAAATCATTTAAAATAAAAAAGTGTAAAAGAATTATTTTAGACACCTATATAGCCAAAGGCTTACAGTAGGTGTATGGATCATAGATTGCAAGGTCACGGCAATGCAAGGTCAAAAAACATCAAAACATTTTTAAAAAAATGCATATGTCACACAGTATTCATGCTTACAAATTAAACCCTCAAAAATTAAAAGAAATAAAAACCATTCATAATCGAAAAATGTGAATAAATTATTTCATACACTTATATAGCCAAAGGCTTAGTGTGTGGATCATAAATTGCAAGGTTACTGTGAGGTCACTGGAAATTGGTACTATCAATATTAATAATTGTAATGAATCATTAAAAATCAAAATGCAGTTATAAAACCTGGAACAATAGAAACACGTCTGTACTTCTGAAATTTCATTCGAAATGGATATATTGTAAATTACTACTGTAGTATTAAAAATGGACCTGTAAATGACATTGCACTGTTATAACTAGTTTTAACAATGTTCATACTTTAGGTTGGGCTACATGATAGATAGTAGATATCATGGGATAGAAGTAAGGGATAAGCAGGGATGAGTGTTGGTGCAAATGGTAGGCAGGGGTCTCGCCAGCTATACTTAAGCGTGGCGGGACCGCCACGCTTGGGCGAAAAAACAAAATGACTGCCACACTTAGGAAAAATAAGCAAAGATCATACCAAGCTTAAAATCTTAGTGCCACCCTAAAAAATATTTACTATGAATATTTTATTCAAAACGTTACAACAATAAATACCGAAGTGTCGAACCCAATGGGAACAGTAATTGTTCAATCGCATATCATTGTGAGGTACTGCCTTCAATGCAAGCCCAACTGCAGGATCTCTTTGTACGCCAGTTCGTGCAATTAAGTACATATGAACTTAGCAAGGTCCCTAGTCGGCTAGTGGAGGGCGTGTGATGTATTGTACAAGTGTGATGATTGCAATATTCAGAGAAATTTTCTTTTTTTTATGAATGGTGATTGATAAAACAAAAGTTATTAATTGAATTTACGTCAATTTCTTATGAAACACGTTTTTTATACTGAATTTCGGCAAAAATGTCAGGTTAAACAAAGATACCGTATATGCGCCCGTATAAGGCGACCAGTGCCGGTGCCAGCTTATGAAATCTAGGGGGTACATTTGAGGGGCAAGGTAAAATTGTAGGGGGGAAATATGCTGGGGTGTCACAGGGTGGACGTCGTTGGGCGTCGTTCAAAATGTCTTGAAAGTGGTCCAGGAGGCTTATTTAATCGATTTTATAGGTAGATAGTCTACTAATAACATTTAAATTGTGGGACACGGGTCATACCGCGTTGTATCCGACACCATAAGTAGTAGTATCAAAAATGTATTCATCCTTTACAATTTTGTGCACCACCCTTTAAAGTTTTTGGACAACATTTTCTGGAATTCCGCCACTCTTTAAAAAAAATCCTGGCGAGAGGGCTAGTAGGTATGGGTCAGGGACAGAGGAAAATTTGGGGGGGGGGGGGTTTTGGAAAGTTAAAGAACAACAAAGGAAAAAAAAGAAAATTGATTACCCATAATGCCTCAAATGTTATTTTTGGGCGTCTACAAAATAACAATTTTGAGGGGGCATGACACCCTATGGTAGTGTTATCTTGATCGGCTCATCTCCCCCCCCCTCATTCAGCACCCCCTTTCGGACATCTCTGAATATGCCCCTGTGGGGTAATTGTAGCAGCATCTGGAGGGCTCGGTAGTGAAGAGGGTTAGCTCCATTATGGAACTAAGAATATTACAGGACAGAATTTGGCCTACAAAGTATTTATTACATAGTACAGATAATAAGAACAACATCAGTGATAAGGAATAGTGAAAGCAGTACAGTATGTCATTTTTGTAGTTAATTTGAATTACAATGATTTCTATGATATAAATCAATTATCTATTTATTTTCTTCTACTTTTTTTTTCTTCTCACGCTGGAAAACCTGTTAGTGTTAAGCAGTATTAAGCTAGTTTTCTTCTATAGGGGAACAGATTCACTTTGTTCCTTGCTAATATCAAAAAATCATAAAAAATAATTTTGAAATAAACTTGCTCATATTGCAATAGCATAAACATTTTTAACTTGTGCGTAAAAATTATTTAATTAAAAAATGTGTACCTAGATTTTTAAACCAAAAAATTATAATAAAAATAATAAAACACTTCCAGTGACTGGAAGTGTTTCTATCATTTTCCGCTGTTAGCTGATGGGTAGACATTTTTTAAATACACTAATTTCTGTGTTCAAGTTGATAACTTTTATGTTACTTCAAAATGGGCAAGTTAATTTCAAAAAATATTTTTATGATTTAGTTTCATTTTATAATTTATAAAGTAAGAGTTGCTTCAACAAGATATGAACCCAAGACCCTGTGAGTGCTAGGCAGGTAACCTAACCATTCCACCACCAAACTAGGCTTATACTACCTTATCCATAATTTAATACAGATAATACAAACATTTACTAAACTGAAATGGTTTACATATTAAAAACATAGTAAGAGTTCCCTTGAGTGTAATAAACATACTGTAGTAATGTAGACCCATGCTAAATACATTAAATGGCATTCTCAGCCTAAAGCAAATCACTTGATTTGATCAATATTCAAAATGAATTTCATTTTTAAAATTTCTACACAACTCACAACATGCCACTTACAAGATGGAAGATATATTACTTTAAACTAGGTGGTGCTCTAGAAAGCGAATCACATTTTAATAATAAAAATAATAAATGGGCACTTATGTAGCGCCAGTGTTCATCTAGCAGCGCTCACGGTGCTTCAGATTTACCTACTAAACATTTCCTGTTTGTGAAAGCAGGTTTATTTGTCATGATGAAAAAAGTGATCTTTGATTT